TCAATAATGTATAAAAAAAATTTGAAATTATCAAAAATGATTGATAACATTATAAAAAAAAATATTGTACGATTATGTTTGAAAATTCACGAAAATCAAAAAAGGAGGACACTTGCATAGTTCATCGTATCCATTACATTTCCCGCTAAATCTTCATCTCGTGTCCCGTTTATAATTTTCCACGGTTTCTGAAAATAGGATCTCGGAAATCGAGGCACACACCGTTGCTCATTAAAGCTGATGCACCCAGGCTATTCATTGCACGTGACGTCGCAGCAAGTATTATTTGGGTCGCGTGCGATCGTCGTCGCGGCCCGATCACTTTTCCACGAGTAGTTTTCTGGTCACGTCATTCGTTTCCAAGAGCGTCGCCGCCACGTGATGCCGGCATGGATATTTTATGGAAATAAGCGAAGGCGGAGGAACGCTTCGGGTGTCTCAAACGAATCAGAACCAACGGATGCGGAAAGTCATCTCAGTCTTACCAGGATACGCGCGAAAGCGTCCTCTTTTTGCTGAATTAAAAATATTCTCTGTTACGTCAAAATAAGATACGTAGTTTTACATAAAGAACGTAACCACAGGTACAACTTTCTAATTATTCATCTCGATAATCATAGATTAAGCTTTTTAAAAATCAATTAATTGCTAATAAAGATAATAATGAAGATGAAGATCTATAATAATAAATAATCGAAGCAAAATATTCTTGTTGATCGCTTAAAATAAAATATACAACTTTTATCCAGAGAACTTATTATTCATATAAAAAAAAAAGTATTTAAAAAACACAAGAAATTATAAGTATATATATATATATATTCCAGTCTTTAATATTTAAAAACCTGTACTTTAATTTAAAACATTTCTGTATCGATTTTATCTTCGATATTTTTATCATACTTATTCTCTTCTAATATTTAATTTTCTTTACAGTTATGAAAATTATATCGCGATAGCGGATGCTTAGTTTTTCTTTACAAATTCGAACAATAAAAAATAGGAAGTATTCTACAGAATTAAATTCATATCAAGGGAAACAAAGTTACTTTTTCATTTTATAATATCTTATTTGTTAATTCGCAATCCTATTTGTTAGTTTTTTCACGATGACGACTCCGGAAGATGGCTCCAAAATCGGAATATACGAGAAATCGCGGGATATTTAGGCCATCGCGATGCAGAGAAAGGTTTTCCGTGTTGCCGAATCAGCGATGATGCAACGAAATACCGCGACGACGTGCGTTAGTCACATCACGTCCCGAAAACGACGATTGTGACACAGCGATCGCGCGAAATCGGACATCGGAAATGTCCGAGTACACCATATTCTTATCGGAAATAGTCATTGACGCGTATTCGGACTTTGGAAAAAAAACGTGTCTTTAAATTTTTTTTATCTAATCTTATATACTTGAAACCCTCCGTCGTCAATGTTTTCACTCTTTGTCTGCAATCTGAGTCTTCGAACTTCAAGTGCAGATTTTTATATTACTCTAAACTCTCTCTCTGCATAAAAATCTTACATACTTGAAAAAAAGTCTTACTTGTGAGCTTTAGCAAAGAGTTTTTACTCAAGTTGGATTGTAATTTCCCACATTTAACAGATTTAAATTTATTTATCAGAATTCACGATCACATAAAATCGACTGTGCTTTTAAAGTTCCAAGTTGTTGGCGAAGGGTTAAGTGCCGATACTATTCACCATGAATAATTATTTCTAATTGTAAAAATTCGCCGCATTTGTATCATCTTAGCGCCGAGATACTACTGTCTTCTGATCAACATCATAATTCATGCTTTTTACAGTAGCGAGATTAGCTGAGAACATTGAAAAAAAAACGTGCCATTAAACTTTCTTTTCTCAATGTAAATAATTTTGCATCTACTTAAGCTCTAATAATATTCAGTATGCATTGTAATTATCTCTAAATTATTGCACAATCCGCCGTATTTGTATTATCATCGTCGTATTTATAACCCATGCTTTTTATAGTACCTATAAGCGATAAGCGAGGCTGAGGACTCTACTAACTGACGTGACGTTTCTGACACGTGCTTCCAATATACCTATACAGGTCACTTTGCGCTAATTGTAAATACCATTTTCGTGCCAAGGTTCCAAGTAACAATGGTCGATAATTAATTCTATTACGCTTTGTGGTATGTGTAAAGCTTTGTGGTATAAGCAAATTTATTGTAATGTAATTTTCATTATTAAAGAGAAATAATATATATTTTTGTTCCAACAAATCTCTGGGATGTCTCATGCGCTTTTTTATTACAAACCGTTGCTCGTCGCAATAGTGTCTTCCAACTGGTATTTCATGAGTTTATTCAGTTAAGAATCTGTCTCGGTAAATTTCTCCTCTTTCTTTCGTGTTGTAATCTTCAAGCTCTTACTAAATCAAGAGACTTGGTCAGGAAGTAGCTCGGAAGCGTGACTTCTAGAGGTATCTTCTCGAGATATTACGATGATTATACGGGTTTAAATTAGAAAGGAACGTCTGTTTGTCTGTCTCTCTCTCTCTCTCTCCTCTCCCCCTCTCCCTCTCTTTCTCTTTCTTTATCTGTCTATATATCTTCCTTTCTTTCTTTTTACAATTTCTTTAACAATATATATAATTCATGACAATTAGGAGAAAGCAATGTGATAATTCATGTGGATGGAGTGATTTACATTTTTATTATTCCGCCCAACAATTTCATAAATTATTCCCTCCAAAAGCTTTAGATCTATTTTAGGAATTTCGAAAGAATTTGTGATTTATTTTAGCTGTACTATATGCATTATTGATTTCTAAACTTGTGTCTGCGCGAATAACTGTGACGTAGAAGAGAATTATCGCTTTATCCCAAGACTAGCAGCAAATTTTCACGCTTTTATCTGCCCTTACATAATACCCGAATTGCATAATTCTCTCTCTCTCTCTCCTCTTTCTTTCTCATTTATCAGGATTATAAAAGATGAATCGTGTCGCTATAATTATAATAACGTGTCTAATTCGCTTTACGTCAAATTATGTAAAGCACCGTCTGTCTAGTAACATTGATCTGCAATGGTTTATCGACGCTTTCGCAAATATGATAATCGAAGACGTCTTTGCATCGATACGGCCATAAATTCTTCTTTTTTACGTGATTTACATGATAAAAAGGGGGGAAATCAGGGCACTTCGAGTGCACGCACGAAACAAGATGTGCATGGTACATCTTGCGGTATCAAGACAGATTCTTTCGCCATCATTTGGGCGATTCAGTCACGGGAATACCCGACTTGTTTGTCGGTCATGGTTGTGAATCAAAGTCCATGCACAACTTGCTCGACGATACGCGAAAAAATTTCGCTGCCTCGTCAGAAACGAAGAAAACAACTTCAGACCATCCTCCCCCTCCCCACCAAGTTAATTTCAAATACACGTTTCCAACGTTTTTTTTTTTCTGGAACATGTAATCGTTACGACACATATTTGCACTTAGTTCTTAAATAAATAACAATAATAATAGATAAAAAAATGTTTAAATTTTTAGTGCACATTAGTGCACATATACGTTTACATGCATTAACTGTTTAGTTGTGACGTGTTTTACATTTTAAGAATTATAGTTTTAACACAATTACGAGTGCATTCTAATGTTTGAAAAGCACGCTTCTCGGCGTCGGTGTTATAAGAGCCGAGGTGAGCCATTCCGCTTCAGGTTTCTCTATCTTTCTCGCTCTTTCTTTCTCCAGTAAACTGCACGTAGCGAATGAGATAATTCAAGTCACGCGCTTCTCTTCGTCGCTTTCTGGAACCGTCGCGTCGTCAAGCGCGCGCCGCTTCGCACGGCGATGAGTTTCGAAAGACGGTTGCCTGATATCGCCCCACTACGTTCAGGAACGCGTCATGAGCTGATATAATGCTTGCGGGATATCCGGGAAAAACGTGAAAGAATATATTTCTTAACGGTACGCAAGCGGACATGCACTTTAAAACACCTCGTCAAAATTACGCGACAAAATGTGGAACGATTTAGAGACAAGGTGACAAGTCGAGAAATAGATTAATATTAAGATTTTCTCTTAAAAATTAAAAAGAAATGGGAATATTTCCGTATATTGTTGAATTTAAAATTAAAAATGTGTATTATTATATGTACAATACTAAAACTTTATATTGTTATTAACTATTAACATTGAAAATCTGCTAAAAAACTTTTTAATTATATAAGAGACATGTTTTAAGAAAAACATTTGTGTCGCTCTAATCTCTAATATAGTAATAAGTAATAAAAAAGTTAACATTTTGTTTAAAAAGCAAGAAAAAAAATTTGATTTTTCCGAACTTTACAGCCTCTAAATAATATACGCGCTCCCTTATTTCAAAAACGATAACACAATTTAAAAATTGCTTTTTTCAAAAAGGAAGAAAACCTATTTTTCAAGTTAACGAAAAATTATTGACTAATACTTAAATAATATCAGCAAAAAAAACATGTTCTTAACATAACCAAATGTCATTTTTATCATTTTCACAACCTTTAAAAACCACCATTTTTAGTTATGATGATTTCGACAATTTTTTACGAAGTTAAGTTCACTTTTAATGATTGATAGAGTAATAACTCATTTGTGATAATAACTTGAAAATTACGTTTTTTTTTTGGTTGAGTCACTTTTAAAGTAAAAAAACAATATGTAATTGAAAAATAAGGTTTTTTTACTTTTTAATAGGTTAAGCTGAACAAATATAACGAGATTATAATTAATCCTCGCGCGAAATGTTTGCCCAGAATAAACGTTGCATCTCTGCATATAATTTCCTCAGTACTAAAATATTTGTATGCTTTCATTTAAGCAAATATTATGAAACACGGTAAAAATAATCGATGGGATATTCGACGTGTGGCTGAAACAAAAGGAACGAAATGCGAGGCGGCCAGATTGCTTAATATTGCGCCGATTGGCACGAAAGTACTTATTATGAAGCCGAACGAGTACAAATGAGCCCATGACTCACCCTAGAGACCTTCTTCTTGGTGTAGATCTCGTCATCCTCTGAGGCCGTCGCGAAGTTCAGGTTGCCCTCGCAATATCCAGCTCCTATACCCATTCTGTATATCTCGTCCTTGCAGGATCTACCATCCAGACTGAGAAAAGAACAAAAAATACGTGATTAGTCACCTACAATATTATTGACCTAAAAACGTAAGTATAAGTTGTCGTTCAAGAAGTAACCTCGATGCTTCCATCATTTTTACACTCATAATTATACATTTCATAAATATGAAAAGTAATTATATATTTTTATAAATATATATTATATATTATAATTATCTATTATATAATTAGAAAAATATATAATTACAATTATAATTTATAAATAGATAATTTCCTTCAATTTCAATTAGAAAGAAGATAAACTATTCGAAACAATACCTCCTTTAGTAACTATTATCTCCCATTAGTTGATTATAATCAAGATTTTACTTTAATCATGGAATTAAATTCCTTTATATCGTGTTCGTAAAGAAGAAAATTACTTAGAAATTAAAGAGAAAACTTTCAAAAAGAAACCAGAGATGGATTGTTTATGTGCGTCACGACGCTATCAAGAAGCTATTTAAATGCATCCGCTTTGCGCGATATTGCTTACGCAACCGCTCGACACGAATGTTTCAGTCAATAACCCTGTGCACGTCCCTTGCCCTGTTATAGATTTTCCGCTGTAAATAGAGTGAACGGGAAAAGCACGAGGCTCCGGCGCATTATTGATAAGCCCGGCAATGTCGTTGCTTATGAAACTTACAGACGACACCGTTTCCCTAGTTCGTCGTACGCCACGACGGTTTGCCGAGAGGGCTGTCGGCATTCCAACCCTCTCTTGTACAACGTGAATTTTTAATGGATTAAAGAGTACTCCGTCGCAGCGTTCTTCGCATATATGTGACACAGATACGCGGTAATTTCGCTAAAACAGTCAGAAGGCCGCCAGCAGCGGTAATTCACTAATAAGTCATCAGGAATCAAGTCTCATTTGACGCTTAATAATTGATTAAGACAAGAGGATAGAGCCATGTGACAAACATTATCCTTTTAAAAAAATCGGTCAGACATTATTCTTATCACATCGTCGTACTAAAATAAAAGTTCTTCATTGTTACATTACAAAATGTGCTTAGCCACAAAATTGCTATAATTACAGTTAAATTGTGATAATTGGATGGACATTTTTATGGTAATAAAAATTATAATTATAGTCATTTTCGGTACAAGCTATATACATATATACTTTTTAATAAAACTATATGTATATAATTATTATTAATAACATTATAACAATAATAATTATAATTATGATACCATTTATATAATTATAGTTACAAATATCGAATGAGCTTTTCGCTCATTATATATTCTAGAAAATATGAGTGGATTCAACATCATGCGCTGTTTACATCTTTGTTAATTATCACTACGTGATATCTATGTTGATATAAAAAGCATAATAATATGGATTGACTCTACATCCTTACATTTTATAGTGTATAAATTATAGATTTACATTTTAATAAATAAAAACAGGTAAATGATTAACATAATCAGTCAAGCCAAGATCCGCTTCGATCAAATATAGGATTTTTCTCTTATTTACATTTTTAACGTATCAATAAACGCTTGCAGCGATAAATTATTTTTAGAGATAGTATGGAATTGGCGTCATCTCTCCCCTTGTATCCATTGACTTAACTCTGAATACAATATATTACTCAATGAAAATTTAATGCGATTAAGTAAAAAAAATTTATCAAAGTATAATAAAATCTTGACAGACACGACTGTTTCTGAGAAATAAATCTTATTCTCAATATCCATAAAAATCGTGTTCTTAAATTAGAAACATTATTATGTCCTGTATCGGAAGACAAACAGTATCAAAAACACGACGATAAAATCGATCAACTTAAATCTTTATATTGCCAACTTAACTTTTTTAGGCTGAAAAAAAACGTATTTCTCAAAAAATTATTATATCCCGCAAGAATCTCGCAATTTTACAGTGACAGGATGTTTACTGAACGCGTTCGTTCGTACGGGAGTTCAAGGACGAAATTGTCAGTATCGTCGATATCTCGCGGGACGGGAGGCTGGATAGTCCTCCATCATAAAGAACAACGCAAGGTCAGACCCCTTGCGAAATGTTAACAGCTGGCGGAGCTAAAAGTTACAAATTTCTAGACAAAAATAAAAGAAGAGGAGAGTTGCGAAAACAAATAATACAGACAGTTTAATTTCGAGAAGATAATCGCGTGCTGACCAAAAATGAAATTGCACGAGCACCGAAATCTGAGCTCGGATGAACAAAACGTTCGGCGACGGAGGCGCAAAAAAAAGGGGGGTGGGGAGGGGAGGGGGATAAGAAGAGAGAAGAGAATAGACTGCGGACTCGCAGTTTCTCGCAGAGTGGCCACGTGAATTGCACGGCCGCGGTCGGTGCACAGCTGGAAGCATTCTTTTTATCACGCGCCTCCTACGACGACGACGGCGCGCTTACTTACGCCGCGCGTCGGGCGGATTATAAGCGAGCAAGAGCGCCTCGTGTACCCGCACGTGGTTGACATTTTCCGGCATGTGACTAGAGGGCCGTCTTCTCCTCCGTCCCTCCGCCACCCTTTTCCCGCGACGTCGCAACTATATGTATTATACCTACCGCTCTCTTTCGCACGCGTCGCCGCGCCGGCCACGACAGGCACCACCTGTGTGCACCTGCGGCTGCATCGTACTACGCATCCTCGTGAAACATGCTGTAACATACCCAATGCACATACTAGCACGTGTGCCCTGAATAGGATTGCGCTGCGCAAATATGTAAGACTATAACCGCGATATTCGATATCGGAGGCAACTATTGATACCTGATACCGCAAAGAGAAACAAGGGGGTAATGTAATCGCTTAATGTAATCGCGGGACAGGGTCCCTCGAAATCATAAAATTCATATGAAATCTCTGTATAATCCGATAATTACACATGCAACCACGAGAAATCATTGTACGATATTAAATAAAATCGTATATTTTGCCAAATGACTTCATATGTAGTGAACAAAATTATTTGTAATCAGATGAAATCAGATGTAATCTGTGGTATTAATATTAGGTTGAGTAAAAAGTCATCGCGTATTTTTTAGCTCAAAGTTGTATATACAATATCTTCGTCAATAATGAATGAAATTCAAATTTAAAAAAAGGGTTTTAAAGCTTGAAATCTCTACTTTTAAAAGCTTATCACATTTTTTAAGTTTATATGAGTTTGATAATTTTTACATACCAAAAACTACGAGCTGAAAAAGACGAAAAATTTTCTTCTCACTTTGTGGATTTGTAACGTGTCCAAAACGAATTTGAGAAAATTTTCGATTACCTATCGTGAAAGCTTGATACTTTCCCTACAAAATCGTTTTTTTTTAATATTCCTACGACTTTTGATTACTGAGTTATCGCGGATTAAATAAAAGAATTATTTTGACTTTAATTGCTCATAACTCCATTAAAAATTGTCGTATCGTATAATTTAAAAAAGAGATTTTTAAAGCTGAAACTTTACTCTATTAAGATATATTTATATTGTTGGTAAGAAAGTAATTGCGGTTTTTAGTGATAGATGTCTTTTAAAAAAACGCGATGACTTTTTACTTAACCTAATATTTCAGCTAGTGTTTACCCACTCGAAGAGAAACATATGCCTACAGTTTTAACTATTTTAATTCTCAATGAGAATTTAGGCTAAATGAGAGTGGAGCGCAGAAATTAGAGCGCGATTAATCTTATAATGTAATTTTAATATTTAATCTTCATACATGCGGAGTTCGAAGATGAAGTACTAAAATTACATTTAAGATTAATCGCGATCTAATTTCTGCGCTCCACTCTCATTTGCCTAAATTCTCATTGAGAATTAAAATAGTTAAAACTGTATATTTTCATAGTTAATTTTTAAGAATCTTTTAGAGAGGGGAAAAATTTTTTCTCCCTCTTTACATATTTTAATTCTACAATTCGAACAATGATATTAAATATTAGGATTTAATGAATTTAAATTTAAATATTAAGTAAAATGCAGACTGTTCGAGCGGCACTGGATGTGTTGTTGCTAATATAATACGATTTATACAGCTCGAACAGTTCTTGTTTACTTAACATTTTAGTTCTCTTTGATGACAAAAATTCTCAGAATTCATATGTACATAATAATAAAAAGACAATCGCTTTAAATTGAATTATTTTCTATAGATATATTTAAAATGTGTAGAAACAGTTTTCATAAAATGCTTCGGTTGATTTTTGAAATAAGCATGGAAGTAAAAAAAATCATGTAATTAACCCTTTTAATGCTGAATACCTTTGATAAATTAGTTGTGAATGTGCGAAATATTCTATTACCTATGGTGCTGAATACTTTTTACCGAGCTTTTTACTTTTACGTAAACATGTCCATAGCTTTCGCGTCTAATTCAACAGACATGTAAACACGCTCATAGCACTCACGATATTATTTGCCAAACATGTTAATATGTCCAGCACTAGAAGGATTAATTACATAATTAATGTAATAATATAGAGAAGAATTTAAGATAATCAGTTGCTTCCAATAAATTAGGTCATACAAATCTTTAAACTTTCAAGAATCACGACAGAATATATCACATCTCTCATATATGTTGTAATAACGTATAAAATTATAAATCAATATCACAATAAATTCAACTTTAACATTTTATTTTTATTTTAATAGGTTTTTTTTAGAAAAAAAAACTAAATGTTTTGAATAGATCAAAGAAGCGGGATGTCATATTTATAACACTTCGTAACTGCAATTATATGTATAACATCAACAGATGTCAATAACTTCACAATATCGAACAAAAATCTAAAATAAAATGTACCGTCAAGTAAACTTAAAAGAAAGTAATGTTAAAATATATCAACTAAAACAATAATGTTAAAATATCAAAGCGTCAAGAAGAAAGTATAGTACTTTGTCATTATTGTCACTCTTTCTTAGGTATGATACGCCTACACGCGTGCACGTTACGAGGTTGCGCGTGCATCCTACACGATGATAAAATGAAACGTCGTGATTTCGTAAT